TAAAAAAAAAAAAAATCCCTCTCCACTTCTAAATCTACTGTTTTACTCTTTCAGATTTAAGTCACAGAGTAAGACCAATAATACCTGGTTGCTTAAGTTTCTTTCTGTTTTACAATAGTTTGTCAAAAGTGTCCCTTATAAGAAATAATCTGTACGATTATCTTCTGGATCTATGAGGATTTGAAAGTATCCTTTTGATATTTCATTACCTTTTCTACTGTCCAACCAAGCATCAAATTCTATATTACGATCAGATTTAAGTCACAGAGTAAGACCAATAATACCTGGTTGCTTAAGTTTCTTTCTGTTTTACAATAGTTTGTCAAAAGTGTCCCTTATAAGAAATAATCTGTACGATTATCTTCTGGATCTATGAGGATTTGAAAGTATCCTTTTGATATTTCATTACCTTTTCTACTGTCCAACCAAGCATCAAATTCTATATTACGATAGATCTCTGGATCCAGAGCTTTCAGCACCTTATAAGGAAAGAGCATCCTTGATGGATTTTCTGAAAACTGAAACAAAAATAGCCATGCTTAAATTCAGTATCCTTAAGAAGTCTTCCTTCTGTGATAAATAATGAAGGTTCTTTTCTTCCTTCTTTTAAAAGCTATGGACATATTCCTATGTTTCCTTCACTATTAAAACAAAAAATAGTACAATAAATTTTATCATATATTTGAAAACAATCAAGTGATGAAAGGAGTAAAATCTAAATCTAGAAGAGCTTAAATGGTAAAAGAGAAAAGTTGTCTAGAGCAGCCCACAAACTCAGGACACTTAAATCACTAACACAGAGCAGGATCAGAAATTAAAAGTAACCCTATCTCACTGATAGCCATGGGCCCAGACCTACTCCTGCTCCTCTGCCTCAGGTTTCTGGACTAGCTCCCTATCCCAAACTACCCTAATCCTCTAGCATTGTTTGTTAGGACCTCCACCGGCTGCCCCCACCTCCACCTTCTCTGGAATTGCTGATCTGCTTGACAAAGACCAGCCCTTACCCTGACCAGTTCTCCAACTAACATTTCAAAACTGAGCAAAAAGCAAACAAGCTACACAAACAATATAAATAGAATTAAAATTCAACTAAACAAAGGAAGATAGAATTTCCTACTGGACACACAACCCCCCAACCCCCCCCAAAAATCCATTCATACAAATAGTATGAAAATCCAAGAGACTATGTATATACGAAAATCCCAACAGTCCTACAAAAATGTACTACAACGAGAATCACCCTGAGGAACCCAACAAGACAGAAAAGAAAAATCAAGGGGGCTGGAGAGATGTCTCAGCAGTTAAGAGCATTGACTGCTCTTGCAGAGGACCCAGGTTTGATTTCCAGCACCCACATGGCAGCTATGAACTGTCCTTAACTCCAGTTGCAGGGGAATCCAAAGCCCTCTTCTTACCTCCGTGGCATTGCATGACACGGGTGCGCTCACATACATGCAGGCAATACACTCGTACACATAAAATAAAAATAATAAAATATAAAAAAGAAGAAAAGTTCCCTAAATTAAGGAAAGACATACCTATACAGATTCATGAAGCACATAGACCACTCATGAGATAGGACCAGAAGAGAAACTCCCCATAGCATATCATAGTAAAAACATTAAATGTACAGAACCAAGAGAGGGTACTTAAAGCTGCTTGAGAAAACAAGTTATATATAAAAACCCATCAGAATTACAGCTGACTTTTCAAGACAAACTATGAAAGCCAGAAGAATCTGGATCAAAGTATTCTCAGTTCTAAATGACCACGGATGTGAACCCCAACTACTTTATCCAGCAAATCTATCATAGTCAAAGGGGAATGGAAAATTTTCCATAACATGAATAAACTGAAAGAAGTCACGTACACCAAACCAGCCCTATAAAGACTACTGCTCAAAGCAATAAAAAAAGACCAAAGATAGGAATGATTATACCGGAGAGGTTACAGAAAGCAAACAAAGGAAGCTATAGTAACAGAAACACAAAATCGGTCCAAGGACACAAACAAATTAAAACGATAGTAACCGATACTTCAATAATAACTCTAAATATTAATGGTCTCAATTCAGGCTAGTGCAATGGATTAAAAAAGAAAATCCTTCCTTTTGACTTCAAGAAACTCAACTCACCTTCAAGAACAGGCACCACCTTAGTGTGAAAGGATGTAAAAAAACACTCTAAGCAAATGGCTGTAAGAAACAAACAGATGTTGCAATCTAATATCTGACAAAATAGACTTCAAATTAAAACTACTCGGAAGAGACAAAGAGGGTCACTTCATTCTAATCAAAGGAACAATTGATCAAGATAATACAATCACAAACATATGCACCAAACTGATGCACTCCATTTCATAAAAACAGTACTACAGGACTATGAAACACAGATTAACCCCAACTCAGTAATAGCGACTTCAATACCCCACTATCTCAATAGACGGGTCAAGTGGAGAAAACGTAAACAGATATCTGAACTAAATGACATCTTATATCAAATGGATCTAACAAACATCTACAGACTATTCCACCCAAGCACCAAAGAATACACTTTCTACTCAGTAGTCCATGCAAGGGTCTCTAAAATTGACGACATACTGGGACACAAAACAAATCTTAACAAATACAAAAAAATTAAAATAATTCCATGCATTCTATCAGATCACAATGCAATAAAGATTATAATTAACAGCTAAAGAAGCTCTAGTAACTATGTGAATTCATGGCAACTAAACAATACATCCCTCCAAGATAAATGGGTCAAAGAAAAAAATTAATAAAACTATTCCTAGAACTAAATAGAAATGATAATACAACAAAACCTCTAGGACACTTTAAAAGCAGACTTAAGAGGGAACTTAATAGCTCTAAGAGCCTACATTAAAAATCAGAGGGGCTGGATGGGTATGGCTCAGCAGTTGAGCACTGGCTGCTCTTGCAGAGGACCCGGGTTCGATTTCCAGCACCCACATGGTGGGCTACAAACTGTCTTTAATTAACTCCAGTTCCAGGAATCCGATGTTCTCTTCTGACCTCCGTGGCATGGTGTGATATGGGTGCACTCACATACATGCAGGCAATACACTCATACACATAAAATAAAAATATTTTTTTAAAAAATCAGAAAGCGCAGAAATAAATTACTTAAAAGTACAACTCAGCCGGGCATGGTGGCTCACTCCTGTAGTCCCAGCACTTGAGAGGCAGAGGCAGGCGGATCTCTGTGAGTTCAAGGCCAGCCTGGTCTACAGAGTGAGTTCCAGGACAGCTGGGACTACAGGGAGACCGTGCTTCAAAAGACCAAAAAAAAAAAAAATTAAAAAATTAAAAAACTACAACTCAAAACTCTTGAAAGGCAAGAACAAAAGAAAATGAAACCTAGGAGGTGAGAAGAAAATAACAAAACTCAGAGCAGAAATTAATGCAATAGAAAGAAAATACAAAGAATCAAAGAATCTAAGAGCTGGTTCTTTGAAAAGTTAAACAAGATAGACTCTTAGCCCAGTAAACCAAAAGAAAGTTCAAATCCAAATTAACAAAATCAGAAATGAAAGGAGAAACATCATGACGGACGCCAAAAAAGAAAACCTATACTCCATTAAATTTGAAGATCTAAAAGAAATGGATGAATTTCTGAAGTCATGGACACCACCCAAAGTTAAACCAAGAAGAGATCAACAGCCTCAACAGACCCATTACAGATAAGGAAATTGAAAGAATACTATAAAACCTCCCCACTAAAAAAAGCCTCGACCGAGATGGATTCACAGTAGAAATCTACTAGGCTTTCAAAGCAAATCTACAACCAACACTTCTTAAATTATTGAAAAACATAGAAACGGGAGGTGGGGTGCTACAGAGATGGCTCAGCAATTTAGAGCACTGGCTATTCTTGCAGAGGAACCAGGTTTTGATTCCCGCTACCCACATGGTCGCTAACAATCATCCTTAACTCCAGTTCCAGGGGATCTAACACCCACTTCTGACCTCCGCAGGCATTATACAACATGAGTGCACTTAAAAACATGCAGGCAATAAATGAATACACATAAGATAAAATAAAAATAAAAAACAAAATTTGAAAAAAATTGTAAAAACAGGGAGAACCACCAAACTCCTTCTATGAAGCCAGAATCACTCTAATATCAAAACGAGGTAAAGACAAACTATAGGCTCATGTCCTTAATGAACAGAGATTCTCAACAAAATATTCACAAACCACATACAGATATACAACAAAATGATCATCTACCATGACCAAGGTGGCTTTATTCCAGAGATGCAGGGATGGTTCAATATACGTAAGTTAATACAATAAATCATATATATAAATTGGCTCAAAGACAAAAACCACCATTCCAATGGATGCAGAAAAAGCCTTTCACAAAATCTAACATGCATTCATATTAAAAGTCTTAGAAGAAACTGGACTGGAGGGAACATACTTCAACATAATTGAAACTAAACAAACCCATGGCTAACATCATTCTTTTTTTCAGTTCATTAGTCCATTTATGTTTTATTGATTTTTTTTGTATTTCATACAGAACATCCCAAACCATCTTATTCATCTTTATACCCACATCACAAATGGCACCGTCCCATAGCCTCATTCCCCTCTCCCCCCTACTGAAGCCCATATATTCTGTCATCCCTGTTACTGTCCACTGTGTTGTCAGTGCCCCCAAATGTTTCAAACCCAGTGCAAATCCATCTGCTGAGTCTAGTCAGCCTATATAGGGGTCTTTGTTTTAGGAAGGTCAGGTGTTCCTCATCTAGCAGGAATCAGTTGTCAACATTCCTTTAGATAAGATTGGGATCTGCTGTTCATTTTCCCAGTTCTATGCTTGGTTACTGTCTAGGAGTCTCTTGGGCCACCTTGGCCAACAACTCAAAGGAATGTATCCCTGTCTGGCACTGATTCTTGTTATATAGCCTTTAGCTATATACATGGACTCTTAGAGAAATATACTGATCACTTTACACTTTGGTTATACTTTCCTTTTGGGTGTTTAAGACCATACAGTTAGTTGGCCCCAACAAACCAATTAATTTTTACTCCTAAGGTCGTTTGAGGATCTGTTCCTCAGGGGTCACATGGGCTTGGGAGGAGACTCTGGCTCCTTTCTTTTACCAGTTCCATCTATGTAAAGATAAGTCAAATGTCCTGCTCAACCATGGATGGCTTCACTTGGAAGTATGGAGGAAATGATTCCTCTGTGTTGACCCTCCTCTTTGTAGACTGGACACTGGTTCAAGTCAATCTCATAGGGTCTCCATGGCCTGCCTTAACAAGAGGACAGGTGACTCACCACAGTTACAGAACATTTTGAGAGATGCTCCACAGTTCCCTGGAACTTAGTAGACCTTGGAGGGCAAGGAGCAAAAACTGTCCTTTAAGCCCCTCTGACTAGATTCGTATAGGCCTCATAGTATGGCTATAAAATGTCCAAGAAGGTTAGTTCCACCAGTCTGGTACTTTTAATTACCATGTGCTATGTAGATAAAGCTTGGGCAAAAAACAAACATTCTCAGATAAACCTTGACTAGACATGTATTTTGTTCCTTGAACTAGTTGTATGTGTAATTTGTCAGAAGGTTGTTGGACTAATATGGTTCACTCTGGGTTTTTTTAAACTAGCTAGGCATTGTTTCTCTCTCTCACTGCTAACCCTTCCACCATGGTTTCCCCATTTAAAGTGCATTTCATCTTACCCCAGTCAGACTGGCTAAGATGGAGACCAAATGATACCAAATGTTGGAGAGGATGTGGGGAAAGGGGAACGCTCATCCACTGCTAGTTGGATTGCTAACTTGTTCAACCCCTATGGAAAGCAGTGTGGAGAAACCTTTAAAAAACTAAAATGAACCTACCATTTGACCCAGTTATATTACTCCTTGGCATATACCCAAAGGACTCATCCTATTGCAGAGACAGTTGCACATCCATGTTTGTTGCTGCTCTTTTCACAATAGCTAAGAAATGGAAGCAATCTAAGTGTTCCTGAACTGACAAGTGGATAATGAAAATGTGGTTCATTTATACGATGGAGTTCTACTCAGCAGTGAAGAGAGATGAAATTTGTAGGTAAATGGACAGAACTAGAATCAGGTATACTAAGTGAAATAACAGACTCAGATAAACAAATGACATATGTTCTCCCTCATAGGTGGATCCTAGCACCAAATCCTTATAAGTGAGTATGTATCCAGATATAACTACAGGAACCAGGATAATGAAAAGGAACCAGGGAGGTAAAGGAAAAGAAAGAGCCTGAAAGAGAAGAATAGTAGGAAACAGGTGTTACTAAGGGAAATCTGGACAAAATTGGGGTTAAATAGCAAGTGGGAAGGAGGGTTATACAAGGAACTTTGGGGATAAAGGGAAAGAAGGAGCTCAAGAGAGATGGACCATAGGAGAAGGGTATTATTAAGGGAGAAACGGGAAAAATGGGGGCACTAACATTATCCTTAATGGAAAATACCTGGAAGCATTCCCATTAAACTCATGAACCAGAAAAGGCTATAAACTATCTCTACACCTTCTCAATATAGTTCTTGAAACTCTTGCTCTAGCAATAAAAGGAAATTAAAAAGAGTACTAACTGGAAAAGAAGAGTTCAAAGTATCACTATTTACAGATATGATATTATATATAAGAGATCCCAAAAATTCCACCAGAAAACTGCTAGAAATGATAATACTTCAGTAAATTAACAGGTTACAAAATTAACTTACAAAAATCAGCAGCCTATTTACCAATAACAAGCAATCAGAAAAAGTATTCAAGGAAACCCTCCCATTTACAATAGCCTCAAAAAACTATTTCTGTCATATCTCTAGACAAATGAAATTTCTAACCATATGATACATATGAATCCTTATATTTGCAGACAAGTGTATGTACACCACTCATCAAAGAAACTTCTTTTTGCAACAGATGGAGGCTAATCCACAACTGGTCACACACAGAGAGTATGAGCCTAAGAGATGCCCAGCCCTAGGTGATGTATGTACAGTGGAACCTCTACATCTAAGGCTCATGGAACATAGATAAACAGGGGGTGGAGAGAATACTAGTGCATCCCTCCAGTCTCATCAGCAAAGCTTCCTTATACAACAGAGTGCAATGTACACAGAAAGCCACAACTTGTTAAGTTTTAGTGAATAAGAGACTGCAGAGAGTGTGTCCCTGAATAGAAATCCTATATTAAACCTCACTTACTCAGGGTTCAGGGACCATTGCGGAAGAGGCGGCAGAAAGATTGTAAAAGCCAAGGTTGGTCCATGAACACAGGGAAACAGAGGCTTTTCAGACACTGGAAGCTTGCCCATGTGAACGTGCGACAATGGTTGCACTGTGCACAAGACCCATGCCGACTCAATCAGGTAAAGGCTGAGGGTGGGGGTGAGGGAAATGAGCTGCAGGCCAGCTCTAGTCTAGGAATGGTTGGCAATTGATTACTGATGAATGAGGGAGGGTAGATCTTCCTTAAGAGGTCAAATAGGCTGACACTAGTGGACACCGAAGGACATCTGGGTACAAATGCTTGACCAGATAGGACTTAACATATATGACAGAATGCATGAAGTCTGGGTGTGTGTGGGGGGATTGTGGGGGTGTGAATGGGGGATGGGGTCTAAATTTGATTGAGAACTACTATATGAAATGCAATAAAACCCAATAAAATATTTTTTAAAAAAGAAAGAAATTAAAGGCATTCAGCAAGTATTATCTTGCTATTCACAAGTGTTTCTGTACCCCACCCCCAAATCACTCAGAAACATGTGGCAGGTTTCTTTTTGCCAAATTTTGTTATCATTCTCAAAGCAATTTCTATTTTTCTTTTGCTTTCTCAGAATTTGATAACATTAAGTAACATCCCACTCGTAGCATTTTTATCAAGGTAAAGGTAAAATCCCAAATTGGCAGCACGCATAGAGATTGTCCTAGTATTAGCTATATTCAGCTAGTCTCACACTTAATAGGCCTATACAAATATTAACAATTTTTTGTTTATCCAACTTTTTAATATTTTATTTTTATTTTATATATATGAGTGTATTCTCTGCATGTATGAAATGCACCCATGTTGTGTAATGTCTGTGGAAGTCAGATGAGGCCATTGGATCCCCTAGAACTGAAGTTGCAGACAGTTGTTAGCCACCATGTGGGTGCTGGGACTCGAACCCTGGTCCTCTCTGCAAGAGCAGCCATCTCTCCGGTCCCATTTCTCCATCTTAAAGAGATTAGGATTAGCACCCAATTTCTTGGCATAGCATAAAAAGACCACTGTTAATGAAAATACAACAACTGCAGCATCAGAATATTGATTATAAACTAAATACTTATTGAAATTGTATTGAATTAATTTGAAGATAAAAGCTTCTTAAACTGTTTATATGTTCAGATTTGGTTTTGAAAAATCTAATACTTTTCAATAATAAAAATTCACACAAAGTACACATTTTCCATTTTTGGATAAGCAAGATTTTGACAAAGGAAAACACAATTAACTCCTCTGCCAGTTCCATATAATTAGAATGAACTATCTGGTATTAACTATTATGATGCTCCAAGGCAAGAATATGAAAATTCTTTGCCTGAAGAAAAAAAAAAAAATCAAACCTAGTAGATGTGGTGGCCCAGCCCTCCAGAGACAGAGGAAGGAAGATCTCTGCAAGATCAATGTCAGCCTGGTTTGCACAGGGAGTTTTAGGCCAGCAGGGGCTCTAAGGAGACTCTGTCTCAGAAAACAAATTATCAAACCTTTGATTCTTCTTTTCCTTCATTATAGGTCTCTGGTGTACTTTCGATATTGCAGCAGGCACCACGCTCTTCAATTCTAGTTGAAAAGAGTCAGAGCAAACAACATTATGTAAAAGCAGCAGATACTTTGTCTCTCACAACTATCCCACCACCCAGTGGCAAAGTAGCTGGGTTCTAAAAATGAGGCAATTGAGCTTTCAAAACACCTACATTAAGTTTTCTTTGTAAGTACATTTTTCAATACTTAGATTATTTCCTGTTCAGATACACTCTTAAGATGGCCTTTATGACACTGATTCCTAGTGGGGTCTCTCTCCCCTCTCTCTCTTCCTCCCCCTCTCCCTCCCCCTCCCGCCACCAGTATAAAAGTAGCCATGTTCACCAGGCTGAATGTAGGTCCAGCCTCCACCTGCCCACAAAAATCTAAAATGATCAGTCATGTAGCCAGAAATAATTAAATACTGCCAGGAACCATGAGTTGGGAGCTATAAATTTCCCCAAAGTTTCAGTTAAGAACTGAAAACTGGCCAATATCTTCATTATAGTCTTGTGACAGCCTCAGCAGAAGATCCAGCTAAGCCATAGCCAAGATTTCTAAGCCACATAGAAGATCGATGCACTGTTTTAAGCTGGCAAATTTGTGGTCATAATGTCTTTCTAGTACAACAGTTTCCATAAACCTGAAGCTTTTAAGGAATCAAGGAAGAACGAAGCAACTTTCACTTTCATAAAGCTGTTCTCATTCCTTGTGGTCCCAAATAAGCTTTAAAAAAAATTCTCTTCTCCAGGCTGGTAAGATGGTTCAATGCTTGCCTGCTGCAAGCAACAATCAACCTGGGTGTACTACTGTTTGTGTTTTTTTAAAAAAAGCAGATTCTTAGACCCATTCTGATCTCTAATTTTATAGCAGTAGGCCCAGAAATCTGTCTAATAAACAATGATTAATTTGTGTACAACTGAGAATTAGTGGATTCATTGTAAAGACTCCTCTAGTGCCCCCCCCCCAAATACTCTTGACTTTACCAGTCCTCTTAAAACTCTGAGCATTTCATAATATATCCTTTTGATAAAACTTCCCTCCTCTCATTAAAAATATTCCTAACATATATGTATGTGTATATCCATAATCAGGCTATACCCACTTTCAGATAATTAAGAGAAACAAGAAATTCATATAGTTGACAACCCCCTTCCCTTTAGTTACCTATCCTGGGTTGAACTTCTGTGTTCAGTACAGGTTTCCACATTTCCAGTCAAAGCATTACTTCTGTTTCTCCTGGAACCACTTCGAAACAAATCAACTGCAGTTTTCAATGTTTCTTCATCCACCACGAACACATCTTTATAAAGAATTTCATACAATATAGCTGAAGGAAGAAAAAGCATCAAAATTGCATTGTCAAAATAAGATGTTTTTCATAACAATATGAAAACATTCATAAACCAGCAAGTAAGTTCTACAGGTACCAACAATGCTTTAAAAGGGTCCTATTCTTAGAGACTTTCAGCTTAAGGACTGATAAATCATCTGAACTCACAGTATTTATGAAACCTTCATATACCTTGACAAATTCCTGCACTTGATTGATATTGTTTTGAGTACACACAATCATAATGACCATTATTTGAACAACAGAGAAGGATCTGCAGGAAAAAAAAAACACAGAATAATCATGTTACATGTCTTACAATCATGAAATTAAGCTGATGATCAGAAGTTGATACAGCAAATAATTTATTCTCTTTAGAAGAGAGTTAACAAAGCTAAGAAAATTAATGTCATGTTTAAAGTCACTACGTAAATTATACTATAAGCCTCAATCAAATTCTCCATGAATAACACTTAACAAGTCCCTGATTTGCGTTGACGAGAACTTTTACAAATTCAATTATTGAACATAACAGAAAACCTAACCAATGTCAAAAGTCCAATTTTATACATGATACAACAGAAAAATGTCATAATGACATCCATCACTGTATAAAAAATATACACTAATTTAAAAAGGAAAAAAAGGCCTTCTGTAAAAAATATAATTGGTAGCCATTAAAGCTGTTTCATTTTGCAGTTATCTCTAGGATCAACAATCTGATGTACAAGATAATTCTGTAATCTAAGGAAAGATGTTGCCACCAAACTTCCTTGAAAGAAAAATTCCTAAGCATTCTTGTTTATCTTCTTATACTACTCTGAGGTAACTTCTACTAAGTACTAACTTTTCTGAATCCAGGGCCATTTTCCTTCCCTAGATATTTGTATTAGTTGGCTTCCCTCTTGCTGGGACAAAACAATGACTAAAAGAAAACCAAGAAGAGACTGGGGACCCAGGAGGTAAAGGCAAGAAATTGAACAGTTTGAAGTCACTGGGCTACACAGCGAGACCAAGTCTCAAAGACTAAAAGTAAAATAAGGCCAGCAAGAAGACTCGATAGTTTAAGTGCTTGCTGTAAAAGACTGACAACCTGAGCCTGATCCCTATAACCCACAATGAAAGGAGAGAACCAATATCACTAAGTTGTTCTCTGGCCTCCAGATGTATGTACACACATTATGCACATTCACAGTAATAAATAAAATTCTAAATATAACAATAAATAAAATAACTGGACACTGTGGCACATGCCTATAATCCCAGCATTTCAGAAGTGGAGGTAGGAGGATTGAGACTTCAAGGTTACCTTAGCTGCATAGTAGTCAAGGCTAGGCTGGGCTACATAAGACCCTGTCTTAAAAATTGTAAAAATTAATTTAAATAAATAAAAGAGTGTGGCAACTTAGGAAACAGATTTAAAATAATGAAAGAACTCATAAATCCAACAGAGACAAATGAGTGTCATTTTCTAGAATCTGTCTCTAGCAATAACAATGTCACACCAATAACCCTGGACTAGAAGGAAAAAGAAGTTGGGTACAGTGGTGCACACCTTTAACCCAAGCACTTGGCAAGCAAAGGCAGATGGATCTCTGTGAGTTAGGGCCAGGCTGGAATACTTAAGACAGTTCCATGCTAGCCAGGGCTATGCAGTGAGACCCTGTCTCAAAAAATGTAAAATAAAATGTTTTTTTTTAAAAAAACCATGAAAATGTCTATTATAGTCGAAGAGGAAAGAAAAATCTTCAACGACATAAATAGGCTGAAGGAATTCATGTCCACAAAAAAGAGTTGAAGAAAGGAATGACTATACCCAAGGGATTGTAGAAAGAAATGCAATGAAGGTATAACTGTGGAAAGGTACAGCTATATCAAGAATGTGAATGGAAATAAAAATGACAGGATTCAATACACATCTTTCATTAATAACTTTAAATATTAACGGACTGAACTCCCCAGTCAAAAGATACAGACTATGTGAATGGATTAAGAAACAAGACCCATCTTTTTGTTCTCTGTAAGAAACTCATCTCATTTTCAAAGACAGACACTATCTCAAAGTGATATATATATCAAGCAAATGGCACTAAGAAAAAAGCAGGCGTAGCAATTCTAATATCTGACAAAATAGACTTTAAACTAATCGGAAGAGATAAAGAGGGTCACTTCATTTTGATCAAAGGAACAATGAATCAAGAAGATATTACAATCGTGAACATATATTCACCAAACTCTGGTGCACCCAAGTTCATAAAAACAATACAGGACTTTAAGACCCAGATTAACCCCAACTCATTAATAGCAGGCGACTTCGATACTCCACTGTCTCCATTAGACAGGTCAACAGGGCAGAGAGACATCTGAATTAAACAATACCATATATCAAATGGACTTAACAGACATCTACCGAGTAGTCCACCCAAGCACCAAAGGACATACTTTCTACTCAGCACCCCCATGGAACCTTCTCCAAAATCAACCATATACTAGGGAACAAAACAAACCTCAACAAATACAAAGAGACTGAAATAATTCCATGAATTCTATCAGACTACAATGCAATAAAGCTTACACCCGAAGAAGCCCTAATCACCACATGAACACATGGATATTAAACAACACACTCCTGAATAATGAATGGGTCAAAAGAGAAATTAAGAAAGAAATAAATGTATTCCTGGAATTAAATGTTAAATGAAACACAACACAACAAAACCTCTGGGACACGCTGAATGCGGTGCTTAGAGGGAAGTTTATAGCTCTAAGTGCCTACATCAAAAAATCGGAAAGAACCCAAATAAATGACTTAACATTACAACTCAAGACACTTGAAATCAACAACAAATGAAATCCAAACCCAAGACAAGAAGAAATAACAAAAATAAGAGCAGAAATGCATGATACAGAACAAAAAACAATAG